GACAATGTGGCCGTCGAGATCGCCAGCGCCGGTTACGAGGGGGCCCTCCGCAGCTTCGGCGCCCTCCGGCGCCGCGAGCAGGCAGTGCACCGCTGAACTTCCTCGGGATGCTGAGCATTGACGATCGCGCGGGCTTTCAGAAGCTCTCGTGGCGCGGGTCCGCCTCGCGCCCCGACGATCCCCTTCGCCGCGATCGGGAAGTCTTCGACGCGTGCGACCGTGGCCACCCGCGGGTGGGCTTGCTTCAGCGCCCAGGGAAACGCGCCCGCGGCGTGGCCCACAATGGCGTCGTGGGGGCCGAGGTCGAAGGGCGGATCGGGATCGCGTGCGCTCCCCTCATCCGTGCGGTCGCCTTCTGCAGGCTGACCTTAATCCAAGTGTACTAACCTTGGCTCTTCGACGCGTGCCCTGATGGCGTCTCTCGCCGGCTGTTGGGTGCAGGTGTTTCTGTTCCGCCGTCCTACGCTTTCCCACTTTCCTTCTTCTTGCACGTCTACACGCTTCTGTCGCGGATTGCGCGTCATGGCGAGACTGAGCATGAGTTGCTTCCGTCCGTCATGGACGAGCTGCTAGCCTGCACCTTCCTGGCTCTCACGGCCATCACCTGCCTGCGCGGGGCCCCTTGCCCCGCGGTGTTCGGTGCGGACGCTTCCTTCAGCTACGGGGGAGTTGTCCGCGCGGACATCAGCAGTCATTTGCCCACAGAGCGTTGGAGACGCTCCGAGCACGGGAGCTGGCACACTGTGGCTCCACGATCGGCACCTTCTCCAAGTTCTGAGCCGAGGGGTCCCCCTCGGCCCTGAGCTCACCCAGCTGCATCGCGATTTAGGGCTGCGTCCCCTTGAGCCCTTAGTCGCGCCTCGCTGGGTGGCGGAGTTGTCCGAAGCTCTCCGCTTGCGCTTGATGTGCAAATGGCAGGTCCGCGTGCCCAGACACATCAACATCCTCGAGACTGTCTTCAAGAGCTTGCGCAAGTAATGTTGCATCAGGAGGCCCGATTCTCAGGCCCCGGTCCTCTTAGACTCTAAAGTGGCTCTCGGAGCTGCGGGCGCAGCAGCTCTCCGGCTTTGTCCCGCGTCTTGCGCACTACATTGCCGTGCATCATCGGGGGCGGTCTGTCCATGGGGGGAATATACGGGCATAGCAACCTTTGTCATGTGGCACAATGTTCCAGGGGCGAGGTGGCTTGAGTTGCCGATCCAGCCGTGGATGGGTGTGAAAATAACCCATCCTCGTTGAGCGTTTCCGCCACAGTCCTAGTGGGGGGGGGGCGAAAATTATGTTCCCAAAAGCCTCTCTGGGAACATGATGTTGCTTCCGATCTTTGGTCGGAAATCATGTACCCAGAAGCCTCTCTGGGAACATGATTTTGCTTCCGATCTTTGGTCGGCCCTCACCTGGTGATCCTTTCATGTGGTGGCCATTTTGGCTCAAGCCACTTTCGTCACACCTCTTCACTTTTCGCATCCTCCAGCTTCCCACAATGGCTGCCAGCTGGACGGCGGAAGAGTGGCGCGCGTTCTTGCAGTCAGTGGATGAGCAGGCAGCGGCGCCAGAGGTGGTGACGGAGGTGGTGACGTTCTTGATGGCTGTCTCCCCCGCGATACCCTCGAGCTGTGCGTTGGAAGGGATCGCCGAATCGGAGCTGATTGCGGCTGACGGTGCACCGACGGGCATCGCCTCACGGGGCCTCCTGCGCAGGGCGCTTCGGACGGTGGAGCGCGTCGCCCAGGCGAAGCGCCAGACGGCTGCGGGCGCGAACGCTGCCCCGCAAGCTGCGGCCGGAGGCGCTGGTGGTGCCGCTGGGCCCCCGCCTGGGGGGAGCGCCCTGGCCTTGGCCTCCCAGTGGCAGCCTCCCGCGGCGCCGACTGTGGATGTGCGGGACCTGTTGACGAAGGCTAAGCTGGAGAAGCTCCCGCTCCACATGCAGCCCGAGCAGGCAGTGTTCGAGTCTCTGAACAAGGACACGATGGCGGCGCGCGCCCAGGAGCGCAAGCCGTTCACGTACGTGGACCTCACGTCGAAGGAGGTACTTCCTCTATGGCTGCCCATCGAGTCGATCGGCGGCAAGCTCGCGCTCGCTGGGGAGAACGAGTTGCTCAACGCCGAGAGCTCGACGGCCACGTTGTCGCAGCTCCAGAACGCATTGAAATCGGCTACGCCAAGTCCGCGATCTTTCCGCACGCTGGGACAATGGTCGTCGGCATTCCTGCGGTATGGCATCGTCGCGGTGGCCACGGAATAGCTCACGCTCGCGCAGATGATCTGCCACCACGACCTGATCATGCAGCTCACGGAGTCCGAGCGGGCAGCGGGCTCCTCCCCCTTGCTCGCGGTCATCTACGACGAGATGGTGAGGAAGGCCTGGTCCACTCGAGCTGCACGCAAGGACCCGGAGTTTGTCCTCGATGACTTTGTCCAGGTCCAGGACAAGCCCGTCCTGACAGCCGCGCGCGGCAGGCTGGCGAGCGTGCTTCGGACGGCGGGGATCCGGGACAGCGACAGCGCGAGGCCAAGGGCGGACACCGCGACAGAGCAGGAGTCCACTTTGGCCACGCAGCAGGCGGCGATTGACGCCCTGACGAAGCGGGCCAATGACGCGTCCAAGTAGATGGCGCAGCAGCAGGAGGCTTTTCGCCAGGGGGCTTTTCGGAACTCGGGAGGGCCAGAGTCCGCGGGTCAGCCAGGCCCGAAGCGCCCGGCAGGCGGCGCGACGCAGACCCCGTGCCAGATCAAGAAGCAGAAGTTCTTCGAGCGGGTCCAGAGCTACAAGCGCGAGCAGCAGCAGACGCGGCGCTGAGCCTGGCGCGCCCGCGCACTGCTCACCCTTTCAGGAGCCTTTCGTCCATCGTGGGGGAGGGGCGCCCAAAGGGTTGCACCCACTGGAGCATGTGCAATGGGCCCGTTCGGTGGACCATCCGATGTTCGGGTGCGGCCCCGAGTTGGATGGGGACTTGCAGGCTGCTTTGAGTTGGGTTGCTGAAAACACTCCCCACGTGGTTGATGAATTCCGAAGGTCTGGGCTGAGGCAGTTTTTGGCGCTTGCTGGGAGTCTCGAGAGGGAGCGGGAGGAGTGGGTCCGTCGGGCGCCACCCCAGAGTAGAGCCCTGGTAGGTTTGCTGCATGGGCTACTCTTTTTGTGCTTGCGGAAGATCCTTCAATGGCCCGATGCGTCCCTCTCCAGTCACCTGCAAGGGTCCCCCCTGGCAGGTGTGCCCCCTCCCGCAATTTACTCCTCTCAGCTGGTGAGGAAGCCTCAAAAGGCCCTGCCGCTAGATGAGCTGGTTGGCGCTATCCCGATCTGGAATCGGGAGGTGCTGAGCCACCTCAAAGACCTACCATACTCCCAGGACGTAGGCCCTGACGTTGATAAGGACGTGGCGCTTGGGGCCATGCTCCCACCTGTCCGTCTCGCCCCACTCCACGTCGACAATTTTTTGCTGATGCGCCGCATCCCCGTCCGCGAGCAGCGCCCGTCGGGGTGGAAGACGCGGATTGCGGACCATGGCACGGAGTGCGGGCTTAATGGCCACACCCTGTTGTCCGACACGATGTCGCACGATACGGTTGACGTGCTCGTTGAAATCGAGCTCCAACTCATGCGTGCAGGCGCTCGGGAGCTGTTTTAGGTGGCAAAGGGACGCGCGGAGAGCTTTTAAGCGCGTGCCTGTCATGTCTGCTCATGCCTGCCTGAGCGGCTCGGTTTGGCAGCATGGCGAGGACGCATTTTTCTCCCAGCATCTTGGCATGCCTTTCGGGACGACCAGTGCCGGGCAGGGGTGGCATAGGTTGGCCAATCTTTGGATGGCGACCTGCCGACGCCTGCTCCGGGTGACTGGGGGGAGGTCTGTTGATGATGTTTTTGGGGCGGACCCCGCGGGCTGTGCAGTCACCGGGGGCTTTTGCGTAGACGTCGTAAGTCGCGTGCTGGGGCTAACCCTGGATGCAGGTAAGGCTGAGGACACGCTGCAAGGTCTCATTGTGCTGGGGGCGCTTGTGCGGGACTCCCCTTTAGACGGGCGGGTGTCCGTTCAAGTCACGCCAGAGAAGGCGGCGCTTTGGTCCTCCCTCCTCTCTGCCTACCTCGATGCAGGCCGTTGCAGTGCCAGTGAGAGCGGCAAGATGGCCGGTCAGCTCAGTTTTGCTGTCGCGCTGGCCGCCGATCGAGTCGGCAGGGCATTTATCGGCCCTTTTTATGCCCAGCAGCACGATCCGATGCCCCAGTCAAGTCTGTCACGCCGGTGGCGGTGGGCCGCCTCGCGGCGGCTGCAGTACCTGCAGTCTCGCCCCCCCGCGATGCGATCGGTGCAGGATCGGTCGCGGGAGTAGGTCATCCCGTGGACGGATGCGTCGGGGGAGGCCCGGGGGCTCGCGGCGGTGTGCTGGTTCAGGGGGCAGTTTCTGTACACCCATGCTCGAGTCCCTGAGTCTGTCTGGGCCCAGCTGCTCCCGCGGGGGGACCGCCAGATCGGATTTCAGGAGATGCTCGCGGTGGTGTTGGGCCTGTTCACGTTTAGAGCCCAGCTTCGCGACAGTTTGACGTTGCTCTTTATAGATAACGATGGGGTGCGGGAGGCCTTGATGCGGGGGTCCGCGGGGGCCCCCGAGGTCAATGCGCTGGTTGGGCGGGCTTGGCTCTGGTGTGCCGAGTGGCGCGTGGGCGTTTACTCGGTCAGAGTTGAGAGCAAGGCGAACGTCGCTGACGGGCCCTCCCGTGGTGACTGTTCGTTGTTGCATCGGCTCCAGGCCAGTTTTGTGCCCCCTGAATTCCCCGCGTGGTCCCATCAGCTATGGACTGGCTGCTAGCTTGGATTGCGGTCACTTGCCGCAGAAAATAAATGATGCCTCTCCGTTGTTGCGCCATGAGCTGCGAGGGTCTCGATTGTAAAAAAGCGAGGGCCTCGAGTGACATTGCGCTGCTGTGCTCTGCTTCCTCGATCCTCCTCCTCCTCCTCCTCCTCCTCCTCCTCCTCCTCCTCCTCCTCCTCCTCCTCCTCGAGGAGAAGGACGAGGACGATCTGCATCGGCCCGGCTCGAGTCCTGCCTCGTCGGGCGGCGGCCGGCTGCGAGCGGGGCCCAGGATGCCTCCTGACAGCCAGGCAGGGCCCCCGGGGGCGCAGGCCGAGGCATTGACCAAGATCCGCGACAGCCTAGTGGAGGCTTTCGTGGAAGGGGCCCCTTGCACCGCATTCCAGGACTTCTCAAGCGTCTCAAGGGGCTGCCGCTGATGCCGGAGGAGTTGCTGCAAACAGGGTTGGGCGTGCTCCTGAACGACTCGGATTTCAAGAGGCGCCTGGACGTGACCTCCCTCACCATCGTGAATGTCTTGCTGGAGGGGTGGCGGTCACAGGCTCGCTCGTGCCGCTCTGGGTCTCTTCGAGGTCGCGTCCACCAGCCGTTCGCGGGCCTCGCCGGGTCGCGCTTCCAGCAGGCAGTTCTGGATCTGGAGTCCTGGTTTGTGCAACTTGACGGTCTCGGGGCCGCGGAGGTCCCGGTGGCGGACAGACAGAAGTATAGGAAGACGGCAACTCTTCTGTCTCTGTTGCGCGTGGTTTCGTGGCAGCACTTGGACGGCGTCGACCCCGAGGACATTGCCCGTTACGGCAGGGACCCCTTCGAGCGCGGCCTGCTTCGACGCGCCGCCATGGAGGCAAGCGCGAAGGGGAGGCAGAAACGAGCTCGGATCGAGAGGGCCACGCCAGTGGCCACGTCTTGTCTGCCTGATTCGACAGTGTCGTCGCGCTCTTCCGTTTGTCCGCCGTTCTCGGCAACGTGCGCTTCTGCCGACGCGGTGGCATCCCGCCTCTCCGAGCAGCACGTGAACGCGGTGGAGAAGGAGGTGCAGGCCCTCGGTGGACAGATAGGCTTAGCGGCACTCGGTTCGTCCCAGCCGAGGGCCATCATCACGCAGTTGGGGGCTGCTTCCGTGCGGTCGCAGGGCGTGACTACTGATGTGTTGAGGGCTAGAGGACAGATCATGCGCGTGGAGACGAATCGGTGGAGCCTCGCCTCAGGGGCATCTGCGCTCCGAGCGTGGCACGCTTTTGCTGTCAGTGTGCTCAAGTATGATAGCGAGGACACCCTTCCACCGAAGTGCGAGGACCATGTATTGCTGTTTCTGGCCATCTTCCAGAATGCAGGAACGGCTCGCAACTATTTGCACTTCCTGCATTGGGCGTGCGTGGAGCAAGGCGTGGACGTGTCCTGGCACGGCCCGCGCGCAGTGCAGCAGGTGAAGGGTTTGGCTAAGATGCAGATCAGATTGAATTGGGAACAATGTCCGAAGCCGAAGTTGCGCCGCAGTTTGGTTGAGCAGTTGTGCGCGCTCTCTGCGTCGCTAGGGGATGAGAGTTTTGCCGTGTCAATGCTTCTGGCATGGGAGTTTCTCTTGCGCGTGCAGATTGAATGCGTATGCTTGCAGGTAGGGTCAGCAGGCTCTGTTCTGACTTTGCCGGCTCGACGGCACAGTTCAGTCTCCGTTGACGAAGCCAGCGTCCTGCACCTGCGGCTGCGCCGGAGGAAACACCGGGCATCCGGCTCCACGCTTCGCCGGCCGTGCTCGTGCGCCCATGGGGTATCGTGGTGCGCACCGTGCAGATATCGCAACTGGCTCCAAGCTTCGAGAGCAGTGGAAGGCCAGCAAATTCAGCATCGTAGTGCTGGAGCTTTTCTGGGGAATTTTAGGAGGCTGCTTGGGCTCCTAGGGGTAGCTCAGCCCTCGAGCTTCTCTCTCAAGGCCTTCCGCGCGGGGCACGCCACCGAGCTGGTGGCCCGGGGAGCGTCGTGGTCCCAGCTCCTCGAGGCTGGAGAATGGGGGGGGAGTGCCGCCTTGAAGTATGTCGAGGCTGGAGCTGTAGACACGGCCGCGTTCGCGGCCCGTGTCATTGACGCCAGCTCCGATGAGGACTGCTGAATGGAGTCTCTCTCTGTGTCTCTCTCTCTCTCTCTCCCACTCTGTTTCCCCAGAGTAAATGATTGAGTGAAGCGGCGTTGGGAGTTCTGGGCTGCGTTGGGTGGGTTGTTTTTCGGTGCGGCGGGGTTGGGGGGAACTGCCCAGGGGCCCCCCCATCGCCTCTCCTCTGTCGTCCACTGCACGGGGGGACGATGAGGGAGGGCGGCGAGGTGGGCGGCCTGGCTGGGCGTTTCCACCTACCCACGTCTGCCGAAGGCGGCCTACCCAAGGTAGGTGTCTGGTTTCTCCCAATGCGACGAGACCCTGGCAAAATTGTGCGGGCATAGCAACCTTTGTCATGTGGCACAATGTTCCAGGGGCGAGGTGGCTTGAGTTGCCGATCCAGCCGTGGATGGGTGTGAAAATACACCCATCCTCGTTGAGCGTTTCCGCCACAGTCCTAGTGTGGGGGGGGGGGGGGGTGCGAAAATCATGTTCCCAGAAGCCTCTCTGGGAACATGATTTTGCTTCCGATCTTTGGTCGGAAATCATGTTCCCAGAAGCCTCTCTGGGAACATGATTTTGCTTCCGATCTTTGGTCGGCCCTGACCTGGTGATCCTTTCATGTGGTGGCCACTTGGGCTCAAGCCACTCTCGTCACACCTCTTCACTTTTCCCTCCCTCCCAAACCCTGGGAGCGAGAGAGGTATGTCTGTATTTGTGCGGGTGGGTTGTTTGTCGGTGCGGCGGGGTTGGGGGGAACTGCCCTGGGGCCCCCCCTCGCCTCTCCTCTGTCGTCCACTGCACGGGGGGACGATGAGGGAGGGCGGCGAGGTGGGCGGCCTGGCTGGGTGTTTCCACTTACCCACGTCTGCCGAAGGCGGCCTACCCAAGGTAGGTGTCTGGTTTCTCCCAATGCGACGAGACCCTGGAAAAATTGTGCGTTCCGACGGACGTTCATCGGGCCGACGGTCCCACGAGGCACCGTTCGGTCCGACTCCCATCTCGAGCCCCCCACGCGTGGTTCGAGGAGGCGGAACAAGGGCAGTTTGAACGCTTCGATTGCGTGGCCCAGGCCGATGCTCTTTCCCTGTGCCCCACCTGCCTCTGGGCGCGCCTCGTCGCCCTGCTTGCGGCTCGTGGGTTCGGCCCCTTGGGTTTCCTCCAGGCGGCCGTCCCCCCCTCGGGCGCCGGGGTGGCCGCCGCCGACGGCGCCGCCGCGGAGCCAGCCTCGGCCTCTTGGAGGCCTTTCGGGTGCCTCTTGGAGGCCTCTTGAGGCCTGTCGGGGCGCTCTTTGGGCCCTCTTGGTAGCCATGGAGGGCCTCTTGGGGCCATTTTGGAGGCGACCGGTCAAAAGAGGAGGGGTACTCGATTTAGGTCCCCCCCTCGGGGGCCACGATCCTCGTGAGGGGTGTCAAAAAATGGCCTTCCCAGGGGCCGAAAAAGGACCCTCTGACACTTCGCGGCTCCTCCCCAAAAAACACTCAGGGAGGGGAGGGAGAAGGTTCAGGGAGGGCTCACCTCCCCGAGTGGAAGAGGGGTCGTGGGAGAGGAGAGAGACCCTCCTTAGACCACCTGTCGCCCAAAGGGCTGGTGGGATTCAGTAATTTTCGGTACGTTTTTGAAGAATTGGCGCATCTCGGCGGCATCCTGGGGAGGCTCCGTGGCCGTCTTGGAGCGGTCTTGGGGCCTCTTGGGGCATCTTGGGACCATCTTGAGCCAGCTTGGACTATCTAGAACCATCTTGGAGGTCATCTTGGGCTCTCTGAGGCCGCTTGGGGGCCATTCGGGGGCCTCTTGGAGGCCTCTCTGGGGCTCTTGGAGGCCTCTCTGGGGGCCTCTTGGAGCCCTCTTGGGGCCTCTTGGGGCGCTAGTGGAACCCTCTTGGGGGCCTCTGGGGAGCCCTTGAGTAGGACTGTTGTCGGGGCGCTCCCCGGGAAGCATGGGCATGCAACTTTGGAGGATGGCCGCAGGATTCGACGTGCCGAACGCCACCCGCAGCCGCTGCTCGGCGCCCTGGTCGCCGGAGCGTTGCGGGCTGGGGCCGTCATTTTGTCGAGACTCTGGCGACGCAGGGCGAGTTTTCTGATCCCGCTTCCCCTCTTTCCCCGACTTCACCGCCGAAGACGATTCCCAAATACGAGGACTCGGTGGTCTTGGGCCCCCAGGGCCGTCGCCCCAGGGGGGCCCCGGTTTCCGGGGCCCCAGGGCCTCTTGGGGCCATCTTGGAGGTGGTGGGTCAAAAGAGGAGGGGTACTCGATTTTGTTCCCCCCCTCGGGGGCCACGATCCTCGTGAGGGGTGTCCAAAATTGGCCCTCCCAAGGGCCGAAAATGGACCCTCTGACATTTCGCGGCCCCTCCCAAAAAGCCGCAGGGAAGAGGGGCTGTGGAAGAGGAGAGAGACCCTCCTTAGACCACCTGTCGCGCAAAGGGCTGGTGGGATTGGTACGCCACGCCGGTGATGTGCGGCTGGCTCCGGATTTTCACACGTCATGACGGAGGCCTGAGTCCGGACACTCTTACTTCACGATTGGGGCTTGGGACATTTGAAAAGCGCTATGGCTGCCGTGTGGTTCGCACCGTCTCCGTGGCATTGGGTATCACGTGTGATTGTGAAGGCCTTACGGCCGGTGCCGCCGACCCTGAAGACGACGACGAGGACGAGGAGGAGGAAGAGGGGGAGGAGGAGCAGGAGGAGGAGGATGGCTCTCGCCCCAGCACCGCGCACATTCCTTTTCAACAATCTGCAACGTTCTGACGGATTGAGGACAGGTCGTTTTCAAAATGTATCTATCGCCTGAGCGCCGCGCACATGTTATGAAAACATGTGCAAGACCTTCCAGGATGGAGGGCTGCTCCTTTTCAAAATGTGGTTCTCGCCCAAGCGACGCACACATTCTCTTGACAATGTTGCAAGAGTGTTACTGATTCGAATCGTGAGCGTACCAGAATTGGTGCTTTGGAACGATGCAGAAATGTCCGGGCACAATAATTATGTTGATTCGCGGTGTTGAAGTCCCAGGAATATAATTCTTGTGCGATTCCGGATTCGCAAAACGCAGCAGTGAGGTTGATCCGTGGCGTTGAAGTACCAAGAATGGTGCTCTGGCGCGGTTCAGGATCACGGTTGTCTACCGACGGGGCATTTGCTTCAGTGTAAATGAATATTTTTAGGGGCTTGTGAAGACGGAACTTGGAGGGAGGGTTTATTGCAACATATTTGATGAGTGTTGGGTTTACATTGGTCCTCATCCTCATCAATCTCCTCATCCTTCTCCTCCATCCTCCTCCTCCTCCTGCTGCTCCTCCTCCTCCCCCTTCTCCTCCTCCTCCTCCTCGTCCTCCTCCTCTCCCTCGTCCTCCTGGAGCAGAACCGGCAGCATTGCGCTCGTGGGCGGGGGGACATCCCCGGGCCCCGGGCCCCTCCTCTTCTCGTTCTCACCCTCGGATCCTTCCCCTCGAGCCTCGAGCCTCTGGAGGCCTCGAGAAACCTCCAGACGGAGCCCCCCGCACGGAGCTATGGAGAGGCTCATGGCTCCAGAGGCATCCGCAGGACCTTTGCGGGCAGCTCTGCAGACCTCCCCATGACCTTGCCGGACTTCCGGGCCTCCCGCAGACCTACAGATACAGCTTGGAGACCTCCAGCGACCCATGTCTTCTTTCCCGGCAGACCTCCCAAGTGGGTCCAAGGAGATGGCGTCCGAGGATCGCAGCGCATCGTCGATGCATGGGTGATGCGTCTCGATGTGGAGCCCAATTTTCTCCGCGCCGACGGCGCCAATGCACCGCCGAAGTCTCCGATAATTACATCAGCGATGCATTGACGATGTGGCGTAATCCTGCGACCCCATCGACTCGGATCCCATGTGGGAGGCCTTACTTCCCCGTCCTAATTCCCCGTCCGCTGTCCCTCCTCGCTCCTCCTCACCAGGGTCCATGTCGATCTGATCGATCCGATTCGAAACCGATTTCGGCAGGCCTGGCCCGATCTGCTTCTGGTATTCCGGGCGCCCTGATGCGGACGTGGCGCTGTTGTGAGTCGTGGCGCCGCCGATCCGAGCCGATTTTAACTCCGTGCCGCCGCAGCCCGATCCGACGAACTTTTCGATCGGACCCGAGTTCCCGATTCGATGCCGAGTGGTTCTGCTGCACCCTCTGTCAATGATATTCACACGTTCCCCCTCCCTGCTTTCCCCCCTTGTCGTGTCGCACGCTCTCCAGAAACCATGTTTAGACGTTTTTGGTCGTTTGGTTGTTCCCTCTTGGTGCCTGGGCTGCCTCGTCGGAGCTCCTCTTGCCGTCCCGGTGGGGAATTGTGTTTTTCCCAACCATCTTGTGGTGTTGGGTCCTCGTATTGAAGAGACAGCGCCCCGCGTCACTCATTCATTCCTTCCTCCTCCTCTTCCTCCTTCCTCCATCAGCATCGTCATCATTATCAGCATCATTATCATCATCAGCAGCAGCATCATCATCATCATCATCATCATCATCACTTTCATCACTTTCATCATCATCATCATCATCATCATCATCATCATCATCATCACCACCATAATCATCATAATAATCAGCATCAGCATCAGCATCATCATCATCATCATCATCATCATCATCATCATCATCATCATCATCATCATCATCATCATCATCATTAACATCATCACCAGCAGCATCAGCAACATCAGCACGATCATGATCATCATCATCAGCATCATCATCATCGGCGTTCCTCTCCTCGTTCTCTCCCTCCTCCCTCCTCCCATGCTCATCACCATCGTCATCATCATCATCACCACCATCATCGTCATGATAAGCATCATCATCAGCAGCATCATCATCATAATCAGGATCATCAAAATCATCAGCATCACCATTATCATTACCATAACCAGCAGCATCAGCATCATCAGCAGCATCAGCATTACCATTAGCAGCAGCAGCAGCAGCATCATCAGGATCATCACCATCATTCTCAGTAGCAGTAGCATTACCATCAGCATCAGCATCATCACCAGCATCATCAGCGTCATCAGGGTCATTAACGTCATCATCATCATCATCATCATCATCATCATCAGAAGAAGAAGAAGAAGAAGAAAAACATCAGCATCATCAACAACATCAGAGCGATTATGCTGGTCAGCATCATCATCTGCAGCAGTAGCACCAGCATCATCATCAGCAGCAGCAGCACCCGTTCTTCTGCTCTCCGCATGTTATCCCTCACACGTTTCGTGGCCCCATAGGGAGCTCCACCGAAGGCCTCAGAGGCACAGCCTGCATGCGCGACCCCCACCCAGTACAGCGTTTCGTGGCCCAGTAGGAAAATCCACCGAAGCCCCCAGGGGCACAGCCCGCATGCGTCACCCCCACCCAGTATAACGCTTCGTGGCCCCATGGGGAACTCCACCGGAGGCCCCAGTGGCGGTGTCCGCATGCGTTTCCGCCACACAGTGCAGCGCTTCGTGGCCTCATAGGGAGCTCCACCGAAAGCCCCAGTGCCACCGCCCACATGCATCATGCTCACACAGTACACCGTTTCGCGGCCGCATAGGGAGCCGCACCGAAGGGCCCAGTGGCACCGCCCGCATGCGTCACCCCCACCCAATACAGCGCTTCGTGTCCCCATAGAGGGCTCCACCGAAGGGCCCAGTGGCACCGCCCGCGTGTGTCACCCCCAACCCAGTACAGCGCTTCGTGGCCCCATCGGGAGCTTAAGTGAAGGCACCAGTGGCACCGCCCGCATGCGTCACCTCCACCCAGTACAGCGCGTCGTGGCCCCTGGCTGAGCTCCACCGAAGGCCTCAGCGGCGGTGTTCGCATGCGGTTCCTCCCAGCACAGCGCTTCGTGTCCCCACAGTGAGCTTCACAGAAGGCCCCAGTGGCGGTGTCTCCGTGCGTATCCCCAGCCAGAACGGCGCTTCGTAGCCCTACCAGAAGCCACGCGAAGGCCCCAGAGGAGGTGCCCGCATGCGTTTTCCCCACTCACTGCAGCGCTTCGTGGCCCCACATGGGACTCCACCGACGGCCAGTGGCGGTGTCCGCATGCATGCCACCGCCCAGTGCAGCCCTTCGTTCTCAGATGGAGCTCCACCGAAGGCCCCAGTGGCACAGCCCGCATGCGTCCCCCCCAACCCAGTACAGCGCTTCGTGGTCCCATGGGGAGCTCCACCGGAGGCCTCGGTGGCGGTGTCCGCATGCGGCATCCCCACCCAGTACAGCGCGTCGTGGCCCTATATGGAGCTCCACCGAAGGCCCCAGTTGCGGTTTCCGCAGCGTTTCCGCATGTCTGTCCCCCACCCAGTGCAGCGCTTCGTGGCCCCAAAGGGAGCTCCACCGAAGGCCGCAGTGCCTGTGTCCGCATGCGTCACCCCCACGCAGTGCAGCGCTTCGTGGCCTCAGAGGGAGCCCCACCGAAGACCCCAGTGGCACCGCCCGCATGGTCACCGCTACCCAGTTCAGCGCTTCGTGGCCCCATCAGGAACTCCACCGAAGGCTCCAGCGGCACCCCCCGCATGCGTCACCTCCACCCAGTACAGCGCTTCGTGGCCCAAGAAGGAGCTCCACCGAAGGCTCCAGTGGCACCGCCCGCATGCGCCACCCCCACCCAGGACAGCGTTTCGTGTCCGCACACGGAGCTCCACCGAAGGCCCCAGTTGCCCCGCTAACATGCGTCACCCCCACCCAGCACAGCGCTTCGGGAAGTCCACCGAAGGCCTCAGCGGCGGCGTTCGCATGCGATTCCTCTCACCCAGTGCAGCGCTTCGTGGCCCCATAGGGAGCTCCGCCGAAGGCCCCAGGGGTTGTGTCCGCATGCGTCACCCCATTCAGTACAGCGCTTCGTGGTCCCTTAGGGAGCCCCACCGAAGGCCCCAATGGCACCGCCCGCATGCTTCTGCCCTCCACGTAGTACGGCGCTTCGTGGCCCCAGTGGCGGTGTTCGCATGCAGCTCCCCAACCAAGTAAAGCGCTTCGTGGGCCCATAGGGAGCTCCACCGAAGGCCTCAGTGGCGGTGTTTGCATGCGTCTCCCCCCCAAGTACAGCGCGTCGTGGCCCCATAGGGAGCTCCACCGAAGGCACTACAGGCGGTGTTCGCATGCGTCTCCCCAGCCCAGTAAAGCGCTTCGTGGCCCCACGGGGAGCTCCACTGGAGGCCCCAGTGGTATGGTTCGCATGGCGGCCCTGTTCAATGTCGGCACACCCCTCACACATTTTGTGGCCCCATATGGAGCGCCACCGAGGGCCCCAATGGCTGCGCCCGCATGCGTTTCGGCACACCGTTTACACGCTTCGTGGCCTCATATAGAAATCCACCGAAGGCGATACCCACAACGGCGATATTCACAACTGCATATGGCTGGGCCCTTCGCCAGGATAATTTGGCTGTCCCTCGCTTCTTCTGTGGTTCGCCTCGTTGGCCGCACCCCTCCTCCTCCTGCTCCTCCTGCTTCTCCTCCTCCTCCTCCTCTTCCTCCTCCTCCTCCTCCTCCTCCTCTTCGCTCTCTTCCCTCTCTGCTTCCGGCTCCTCCCGTCTCCCTCCTCTTTCTCCTCCACTTCCTCCCTCCTCCTCCTAAGCTCCTCTTCCTCTCCGTAAGAAGTGGATTGAATAACAATCCTCTTCCTCTCCGTCCTTCTGCCCAACAAGGGGCCGTCGCCGCGCAAGAGAAGGACAGGATCTCGCGCGAAGGACACCACAGCATCGCCCGAGGGATCCTCGGGGGAGCTCCCCGTCGACACGCTTTCGGCCGCGCAGACGCCTGCGCCCACGCCCAACGTCGCCGAGCTCGGCGAGCTGGAGGGGCATCCCGACGAGGACGAGCCGGCAAAAAATCATCGGAGGGCGACCTTCGAGTCTTGCCCCCTCTGCCGAGCCATATCGCGTTACACTGGGCGCCCCGTCCCCTTCACTGCTTTCCGTCCAGCGGTCGGTCTGATGTGGATCGGAGAGCTCACCATGAAGAGTCTTGAGGCTTTTCATTGTGTCCCAACCATCCTGTGGTGTTGGGTCCTCGTTTTGAAGAGACAGCGCCCAGCGTCACTCACTTCTTTCGTCCTTCCTTCCTCCTCCCCCCTCTGCCCTACTCCCTCCTCCCCCTCCTTGCCTCTACCCTCATCAGTATGCAGTTCCCCCAACCAGTACAGCGTTTCGTGACCCCACAGAGAACTCCACCGAAGGCCCCAGTGGCACCGCCCGCATGCGTCACCCTCACCCAGTACAACGCTTCGTGGCCCCATGGGGAGCTCCACCGAAGGCCCCAGAGGCACCGCCCGCATGCTTCTGCCCCACCCAGTACAGCGGTTCGTGGCCCCATAGAGAACTCCACCGAAGGCCACAGTGGCGGTGTCCGCATGCGTTCCCCCCACCCAGTACAGAGCTCCACCGAAGGCCCCACTGGCGGTGTTCGCATGCGTCTCCCCTCACCCAGTACAGCGCTCCGTGGCCCCGTAGGGAGCATACCCGAGGGCCCCAGTGGCGGCCTCGCCCCATTGCGGCGCGCCTTTCGCACGCTTCGCGGCACCATGGTGGGCCCCACGTAAAGCCTCGGTGGCAGCGCCCACATGGCGGCCCGCCCCATGTCGGCGCATCCTTCGCATGCTTCATGGCCCCATGAGGAGATACCCCCAAAGCGATACCCGCAATGACGGTGCTCACAACTGCATATTGTTGGGTCCTTCGCCAGGATAATGTCGGCCTCCCTTTCCAGGCTCTAGGGCCGTCAGTGCAATAACTCTAGATGCACAAACTGTCTTGGGGAAAGCTTTGTCTAAGTCCCGTTTGCATGAGGCCCCCCCCTCTCGCATGGCAAGGTGGCGGGGCGGACGCGGCTGCAGGCTATCAAGATGCTTGCGGCAAACGCCGCCACCGCGGCGCCACCGCAGCAGCGTAGCGTGAAGGAGGTTGCCTTAAAGGCGCGGCGCATCTGGGAGCTTTTCTGGGATCTCTTGAGGGCCTTTCGGGCGCCTTTGTAGGTCCGTTTGGGAGGCGCTCTGTAGTTCGGGAAACCTGTGGAATGCCTCTCTGGGGCCTCCTGGGCCTCACGGCAGCGTCTCTGGATCTGGGGGCCTTTGGGGGAGCCTCTTTGGGACACGGTGGGGGGTATTGGAGGCAACCTTGTAGAACATGTTTATCTAATTGGGCCTCTCTTTTGGGGCCTCTCTTTGGGCCTTCTCGAGGGCCTCTTGGGCCTTCTCGAGGGCCTTCTCTCTTTGTAGTTCCCTTTTGGGGCCTCTCTTTGGGCCTCCTCGAGGGCCTCTTGGGCCGTCGTATGGGGGGCAGATGGGGCCGCCTTAGGGGTGTGCCCCCCCCCCCCCCCCTGAGCCGTCTCGTGGCCCTCTTGGGACCGTGTTGAGTTGTCGTGGATCCCCCTTGGGGACCTTCTGGGTCGTCTTGGGCTTTCGGACGCCAGAGAGGGCATCCTGTTAAGATCTGGCAGAGCCCCTGCGGAAAAGCGATGCCGTCTGCGCTTGAGGGCCTCTTGGGCGTTCCTTTGGAGCCCTCTCAGGCTGTCTTGGGGTCCTCATGGGCCGTCTTGAGGCAATGCTGGGCCATCTTGGGGCCCTCTTGGAGCGTCTGGAGGCCTTCTTCAGCAGACTTGGAGACACGTTGGCCGTCAAGCGCCGAGCTTGGCTGTCTCGGGGTGGTGTTGTTGCTGTTGCGGCTGATTCGGAGCGTTTGTTGTGCTTTGATGTCTGTCTGTCTGTGTGCCTGTCTGTCTGTCTGTCTGTCTGTCTGTCTGTCTGTCTGTCTGTCTGTCTGTCTGTCTGTCTGACTATCTGTGTGACTGTGCTCGCTGTTTTTGGGTGTTTTGCTCCCCCCCCCTCGGCCATCTCTGGGAAACATGTTTTCCGAACAGTGAGTCGACGTAGGAAATTGCCCCAAGTCTGGTCTGGAGAGGGTGGGAGGTTTTCGAACCCCAGTCGCGATGAGGGGAGGGGGTCGGCCCTAGACCATACCGAATAGATTGTACCAGACAGCGAGCATTCTAGCACGCCCCAGCGTGCACAAGGCACGGTGGCGAATTCTTCTTTGAGGTTTGGCAGCGCAGATCTCGTCTTCCTTACCCCGCTCCTCTTCAAAGGTGCCTCCCGACCTCTCCTGGAGCGCGCTCCGACAATAATTCCGAGGGGGCAGGGGATCCAGTAAATATGCTCCTCTCCGACTCATGCTGCACTTGCCTCTCTTGCTGCCTGCCTTGCCACACCCTGACTCTGCGGTACCATTCCACAGCTATTTGTACTCAGGTTAGAAAAGGAGCGTGCTGCCGCGCGCTCGCGTCCGGGCGTCGGCCGGCCGGCCTCCTCCCTTCCTATACTTGAGTGCATTTGCTTAACGGTTACTTGTAGCTTCATCGATGTCTCATCCTGTATCTTCTATTATTGAGCAGAGTCAGCACGAGACCTTAATTCCTTTGTCATCTTACCCCGATTCTCAGAGGAAAGACTGGTTATCAGCCGAAGCCCGCGACCAAGTCGCAATAGGGATGAGCTCTGATGAGACAGCCGAATTGCCCGTCGGATCGCAAGTTGTACGACGTGACGGGCAAGAACTACAGGAGAGCGGCCCGGGGAGGGGCCGCCTTCCCTCTTCTTCTATCACCACCCGGTCTTCTCGCGGAAGGAGTAGGGGAGAAGTTATTGATTTGTCGGTAGATGATTCTCCCTCTCGAATCCTGATCGGTGATCGTGAACAGACCCCAGACCCGACGAGGCGGGACGGCACAACAGCAAAGATCAGACGAGGAGCATTTTCGTCATGGGTTGCCGAATCCTCGGAAACAACACATTCCAGCCCGATTGCCATGCGGAGTATTGTGCCGGCCGCTGGCCAAGCCAGTGGGTCGCGAGAGGCTGAGGGGTCCAGAGGCGTGTACCCCACCGTCCCAGACGGATGGGGGAACGCTCAAGGGACTCATCCCATCCCGATAGCCTTGAACGGACAAGCCGGCCAAGATAGTGACGAACAGCTTGACGATGGAGATGATATAAACTCCATGGAGGAAGACTTGAATACGCCAACTATCAAGTATTATTGAGTCGAGATTCGTCATCGATAACTGATGCAGACCATCCCGTCCAAGACGGGAGGTGGTCCCCTGGGCAGGAAGACAATTGACTATGATCACGTGGAAGCCCTTGGGAAAACATTTGCAGTACCAGACTCGGATACCGAGATAAGTGACCTGCCGCCCCAGGCGGTTGAGGTGGAAATGGAGTATCAGACTCAAGCGAAGCATGACTGGGAGATCACAGGACGAACTCCCGCTCCTCAACTCAAGAAGCACAGGAATGAAGATTACGACTTGAACGATTCCCCGCTTCAGGAAGGGTTTTATCGAACTGCCGTCGCCACAGGCGATTGGCAACCATCGGTACCCGCTGTAGTTGAGGATGATGAAATGCTCACCCCCCCGGCTTCGCTGAATGAGTTGGTCAGACAAGACGAAAGGGATGAGGAGTTTCGAGAGGCGGCCAGACCGCCAGAGAGTACGCACACACGTCCCAGATCGTCTGCTTTGAGCAGGGGAAGGCCCAAGATGCCAAGATCTGGAGCTCGATCCACTTCGAGGAGCAACAGTACAATATCCATGCGCGAGACATGCTGGAACTGGGGCCCCAACTGCCCGCCCCAGGCGGAGAGCAGATGTCCGGGGAAAGCCCGCAGACCGAACGGAGCCTGCAGGCGCCCAGCATGTAGAAGTTGTTCAGACGCGTGTCCCAATTGTGGCAATCAGTTGTGTGAGGATTGCATTCCGATGGATGAGCATAACTGCTCATGCCTTCTCATCCAAGCTATGCAGGATCAGGCTAGATTTGTTGAAGCCAAGACTCAGCAATAAATTCTGGCCCGTGAAGCCCAGAGGGCCGAGCAGGCCCGACTGGACCGAGAAGAGATGAATGCAGTCATTGAGGACGTTCGGAAGACGTTCGAGGCTGAAAGACTCGCTCTGGCCCAAGCTGCCAGAAAGCGGGAACAAGAGCTGGTGGAACATATGCCCCATCAAACCGCGGCTGCCAAGCAGCTCGCGGCAGAAGAAGCCGAGAACAGATATACGGAGACGATAGCCTCCGAACGACAGGACGTTGCGACGGCGACCAGTCAGTCTGTGGATGCCAAGGCCGCATCCGCCGCTGTTGCGGCGGCGAGGATAGAAGGAGAGAGGGCCGCTACAGCCAGGGCAGAACAAGAAAGACAGGAGCTCCAAGAACAACTTCGAACTGCCAGGCTGGAAGTGGCCAATGCCCAGATTGTAGCTGCGACGATAGTTGATCAGAATAATCAATATCGAGAAGAGCGTAAGTTACATGAGAACGCCAGAGCATCTCTTCAGCGCGTGCAGTTAGGCGACAATACGTGCCCACCGGCCAAGCCGGCCGGGGCGAGTGGGCGACCGTCGCCGGCGGCCCAGCCGTCCGGCGCAACGTCCTCGTAGGCCCAGTCTGGATCGACGACCATGGGGAACGCGATGCCGCCGACGCTGAAAGTGAGGGCTGCGCCGCAGCCACGGCCCGCGAGATGGGCTGATGAAGAGGGTTGCTCGATTTGCTTCAACCCGAAAGTTGGAGAACGCGCCACCTGTGGACTGGCAAGCTGCAAAGACCACTTCAATATGAGCACCAAAAGGTGTTCTACATGTACTCGAAGAAAGAGTTCGCCGGCATAACAGGAGAAGTGGGACGAGCAATGGCAAGGACACAGTGCTGATCATGACTTTCGGGCCCAACAGCAAAAGCTTCTTGACGAATGTAGCGCCGATAATCTTAATGTTCAGCGGATGCAGGAGCAAGTTGAGGAGCAGATTAGACTGAGCTCAG